AAAAAAAAAAAAAGAAAAACAATAAAACAATCATTTGTCCAAATTTGATGATCAATTCAATTCAAACTTACTTCGTAACGACTGGATTTACAAATGACTGTCGGCAGATAAAACATTTAAATGGCAGTTCACTTTCTTTCTCCTCTTCATCCTCACTACTTACCCGATACTTGTCATCATCATCCTCTTTCATCCTACCAGCAGTATAATCACGTTCAATTTCCCATCCATGCTTGTAATCGGTACGATCATGTAGAAATTTACACGAATCTATGAAACTGAACATTTTTAAAGAGTGTGGTTTTCAAGTAAAAGTAAACAACTGCTTCAGGAAAAAGTAAAATGATTGAACACTGATGATTAACTATAAATGGCTAGCAAACAACCATCTACAATAACACTGAAATTTCAACTATTAACAAAGAAATTTAAAGACCTTACAGTGTGTTGATAATTATAAAAGAATTCCCTCGATTTGTAATCTCAAGAAATTTTATAGTTGGATTAATCTGAAGTTTTACTAATAAAAAAACCAACCCTTTAATATTATGATCAAAACGAGAAGAAAGAGAAAAATTCAATCGAACAACATAATAGAAATAATTATACCAGTAAATTTAAGAAAATAAGTTGGAACTAACCTCCAAAAGTGCAAAATCCTGTCTCTTTATAATCCTTGCAAATGTCCGGTGCAAAATCCCATCTTACTGATTGCCTCAAAAAATTCGGTGCTCTGATAGGTCCAAATCGATTAAGCCCTGATGAAGCATTCCCCCAAACCGTATCTTTCTTCTCCTTGGCCCCATACAGAGCTGCACCACGATAAACCTGAAATATATGTTTAAAAACTTTTAATTCACACGATTCTTGACAAATTGCTGCATAAACTACATCAAAATATAGATCCATATTTGAACGTAATTGTTTAAATCTTTAAAACAGCAGCAAAATGCTTCATGACATGATATGGTTCTGTCAAGCATCTATAAGCAGGAATTCAAATTAGTTCACTAAATTTCTGAGCGCTAGAATAGAATACAGATTATTCAAAATTTCAAATTTTGAAATGAAAAAAATTTTTAACCTTTGAAAAAAATATTATTGCAGAACTAATCAAAAAAAGAAGAAAACAAGTCTGATGTTAGGTGCACCTTGTCATCACGTTCTTCTTTCAAAATTTGCTGTACCCGTTCAAATTGCGCTTGAGCATCACTTTTTACATCAGTATCAATCTCACTAACTGCTGTTGCACCCATATCTGATGGTCCAGCACGTTCTGCTGTCCCACTCGATGCAAACGTGACACGCAACGGATCGTTCTGAGCTAATTCCTCCTCACCCGATGATGATGATGTACTATCCGATGTGGATTCCAGTATTTTCTGAACTTTCCGGTTGATTGTCTAAAAAAGATTATCATTCCTTGATAACGATCTTTGCTTAATTTTTCATTATCTCACAAGGAAATTTAGAATGTTTTATAAATAGTAAACGAACCGTGAAAAAAAAAATTTTCTGAAATGTCTTAAACCAAAAATTTCTTCAAAGGAATAATAAAGGGAAAAGGAAAAAAAAAGAGAAAATAGCTGAGGAGGAAGCAGAAATAATTCTGAAAAACTGAAATTGATAAGAGATATACAAAATTTGTTGAAAACAAACAGATTGTATCATCGGATTCTTTCTTTTTTTTCTTCCATCAACATATTTGACCACTTCATTCATATCTTCACTATCGCTTAAGGAAGTTGACATTTCAGAAATACATTTTCTTCTTGATGCTGCATTTCTTTTCACTCCTTTACGGCTCCTAAATACAGTCATAGACGATGATGTCTCTGCCTCCTCAGTTAATTCTTGATTGGACATTTTCGAATTTTCTGAAATAAACAGTAATCAAATGCGTTACATATAGATGTAAAAAATATTACTTGTGACACACAATAATTACATGAAATTGGAATAATAACTAATATGACATTTATCATAAGCAACAATCATGAATGATTTGAATACGGACGAAATTAATAGTAAGGCTAAGTTAAGTGGAAATAATTTTTAAAAAATCAGTTCGACATGATATTGCAAATGATTTGTAAATTGATCATGAAAATAATTAAAAATAGAAACCGGAATAATTTCAGGAACAATTCCAGCAAATAAAATGAGAAAAACGATGGAAGAAAAAACTTCCACAAACACACACCTCTCGCAAAATATCAAAATTATCGCAACCTGAATTAATACCAATTCCGTATTATTGTTATTTCGATTTTTACGTCCCGTTCTCTCTCTCTCTCTTCTATCTCTCGTTGTGCTCTCATTCTCCGCTCTCGTTGTAATACGTGGCTATTTTTATCATTCTAGCTTTCTAGTACCATAATATTTTTTACCTTTTTAGTCACTGTGCATTTCACATTCCCATGTCTTTTTTTCTTTTTTATTTACTTTTGTTTATGAATTATAAAACTATCTCCAAATTATCCAATGAATTCCACCGCTTCTCCACCTTCTCCATAATTTTGCATGCTATTTTGCTCCTTCTTTTCCTTCTCAATCACAAATATCACTCTTTCATATATTTTATCAATCTTTCATCTCTCCTCATACTATACCTTATTTTATCAATCTTTCATCTCTCCTCATACTATACCTTATTTTATCAATCTTTCATCTCTCCTCATACTAAGAAAGTTTCCAATCAGAAATGTTGAAATGAGACTTTTTGGCAATTGCCTCGAGGATTAATTGGTGAAAATAAAAATCGGAGAGATATCAAAGTTTCCTATAAAAGCCCCCAACTCATTTTTTAGTCGGATTTCGTCTTCAGGCTTTAGGATAAAATTTGGGAATTATTTTAGCCAATCAATTTGTTTGTTATTTGTGAAGATTAGTAAACGAGATAAATGACTGTTAAAGGATTTAAATATCATATTGATCAGAATGTATGCATTTTCTTTTTCAGTATATGGATGATATGTAGAAGATGTTAAAAGCAAATGGATCACTTTTAACAGAAAGCATTTTACCAAACATTAATCAACGGTTTACTTCATCAAATTGTCCAGTGTTCCAGGGTACAAAGCTTCGTGTTGTAACGTTGGATGCGTTGAATACATTAATTCGGTAAGTATAATATATTGATAAATTTAGTCTCTAAATATTACTGTTGTTTGATCTGACACGCATATTTTACAGTTGTACTAAATATATGTTGATAGGTATGTTAGGTTTGAAAAAGTGTAATAACAGTTACTTTTTTATCAGTTTAAAGCAAATAATTAAGTTTAAACTGAGTTATATTGTAGTTTAAAACAATCACCAGGACATACGTATGCAAATTTTGCCAAGCGTATCAATGTTCAATGCAATGCCGATGAATTAGATGATGCATTTCGACTAAATTTTAAAAATTTGTCGAAACGAAAATTGTGTTATGGGTTTAAGAAAGATGGTGAAATAGCATGGTGGATTGAGCTGGTGAAGAATTGCTTCGCAGATGTTAGCTTTAGATTTCATCATTTGCTACTTTTTTCGTATATAAACCTATTAACTATATAGTAATCTTAGGTTATACCATCATCTGGAGTGTTTGCAGGATCAAAAGTATTTTTAAAATTGCTATGATTCCCGTGAGACCTAGAATTATTCGAAACCAGTTATTCGTGATCGATTGTCCCCCAAACATTAAAAAATCTTAGTTATACTAGTATGTCTTATTTTATGCATTTTCTTTTCACCACTTCTTTTTTATTTAATCTGAATTCGATTCCAGAATAAGACTACTATTTTTTAGTAAGTCGGTTGTAATGCGATCCAATGCGATAGTGCATTCTGCATGTGTCTTTGAAAATTTTAAATTTATTTCACAAACTTTCACTTTTTTCTTTTTTATAGGTTGGTGAGAAAAGTGTCGGGATAGACAAAGTGGCGCATGAACTTTTTGTTTATTACGGTTCTGTAGAACCATGGAAATTAGTTGACAATCAGGTACCCATTAATTTGTGATATTTAGATTTAGGTATTTAACTGGCAAGAAGAAAGAAATCATTCGATAGAAGAAACGTTTCTGGAATTATCTATACATTCTTTAGGATGTTAGATTAAACGAAACTGTTTTATTACCGATATCATTAGCTTTCGTTTAGGAATCCGCTGTGTGCAGAAATATGTGCATGTCAGCGGGTGTACTTATTTTTTTTTCTGTTTAATTATGGTATTGCTAAATTTCAGATATAAAAGTTCTTTGTCAATTTCAAAACCATCGAACCCAATTCAAAAACAGTGAATTTATGATACAGTCGAGTATGAAAATGTTTTCGGCAACTTATTTACAGGTGCACGATCATTTGAAGGAGCTGCAAAGTCGGAAAATTCGATTAGGTATAATATCAAATTTTGACAGACGTCTTAGGAATATTCTGGAAGGCTTAAAGTTATCGTCCTATTTCGAAATGATGCTTTTAAGCGGAGAAATAGGTGTGGAAAAACCAAATAAGCAAATTTTCGAGAAAGCTGCGAAATACTTTCAAATCAATCAAATGGAGGAAATGCTTCATGTAGGTGATGACGAAGAGAAGGACTTCAATGGTGCAAAGAAGGCAGGTGTAAGGGCCGTTCTATTAAGGCCTGAGAAAGTATCAGCATGTGATAATAAGCAAAATATTCTTTGCTCGTTGAAAGATATAATTGATAGATTGGAATAACAGTTAATAATGAATAACCGGTTTTAGCTGTATTTCCTTTTCAGTAGTTACGTATTTAATAAAAAATGGAGAATTACTTTGTCAATTATTCTTTAGACTTCACTTGACGAAATAGTGAGCTTTGCTAGGGATTTCTTAGCTATTTTTATGTTATTCTATTGCTAAACTTTATCCTTCTTTTTCGTGCAGCAGTTTTGATCTGATCCTCTCTTGATGTTTTCATAATTTTTTTTATTTTGTAAATAATTTTATTTTGTATGGAAATGCTGTAGTTAAATCACATGTATAAACAGAAAGTTACAGAAATTTTCCTGGGGAAAAAGACAGAAATATTAGAACATTCTCCTTGAAGAGGGACAGAACTGATGTTTGTTGGAAAACTCCATGACTTCTCGGATATTGCTTACGAAATTTATGCATTCTACCATAAAATGCCAAAGGTTATGTTGCACATCTTGTTTTAAGACATAAAATAATGATAGAACAAATGTATTATGAGAAACAAGTATAAACTTAAAGATACTGGATCATTTCTTGATGAGCTGGTAAAATTACAAGTCTCGTTGAAATATGAACTTGAATTCTAGAAGTTTACCTGTCGATAATGATTGTAGAGTTTGAATAATCTGTACAATTTATTGGTGGCTGAAAAATATCTTTTTTTGGGTGAGATGCCAATAATCTGGACTCGTAATAAGATTTTTTTTTCTTGACAAGAGATGTAGAAAAATCGGTTATCAACTTATCATTACCCAATTGTAATTATTAACAAACACAACCAGCCAGAGACATTAACTCCTACCTATTGTAAGTAAATCTCATCATCAATTTATCAAAAACTACAATGCACTTAAAAACACCGCGTAGATCGAAAATTTTCAGTTTTTTTAACTGATTGCTAAATGATGATGTTATTCAATGCCATTCATTATTGAATGTCTTGGAACAATGCTGATGTAATCTAACCGATAGTGGGTTATTCCTTGATGTGTTCATAAAGTTAGAAGTTTCGTTGATATATGGACTTTTTTTTTTATTAATACAACTTGAAAGGAATCATTTTACTTCATAGTTTTAAAGTAACTTCATAGTTTATTTCATAGTTTTAAAGTAAGAGTTTGAATTTTTTTTTCCTTTTTTTTTTTAACGAACTATACCTATATGTAGGTTAGTTCGTTAAAAAAATATTATTACTAGTTTGTTAAATTAACATTTAAAAAAAAAAATGCTAGGGAAAGGGAGAAAAGATTAACTGTTAATAATGTGCATTCATCGTCGCAAACATGGCAAATTTGAATGTGGCATTTTAATCGAAGATATGTAAAACCAACTTGTCGGACTGTCAACCAACCTAACGATAATGCTTTTTTCATTTTAGAATCATAACGTGGTGTACTAATCATTGTTGTTTCAGATGAACATCTGGAAATGATTGATTACCAAAGATTGTCATCTTTAATTATTTACATGTATGATTTATCTTATTACAATTTTTCCAAATTATTTGCTAATTTCAATTTATTTTTTGAAATTATGTTAACTTTTTTATTCAGATAATATTTGAAATATAAATAACAGTCTATATACCCATATGCTGTTATCAAATATACCGGATGATATTTGCTACCAACCCAACAATTTTCAACTCTAATTGCATGTTCATCTATAATGATAAATTAGGAATGATTAATTGCATACAATATTTGTTGACTAAATCAAATTAGTTAAATAAAATTTAGCTGTAAAAGTAAAATAAACGAGTAATGAGTGTAAAGACTAATTAGGACTAAAATTAATTAGTTAATTAATTGAAACCATCACTAATAAATAATTTAATAGATAGTAAAGATAATAGAAATGAGAACTTACAAATATTGCAATGCCATTGAAAACATATTCGAGTATTCCATGCAATTGTTTCATTCTCTTCAATTGGTGGTAATTATTACAATTTGTGCGATGTAAAGTAAATGTGCAATTATCTGCCGGATTACTTAAATTATGTTCTCCACAAACGGTAAGACTATCGATTTGTACTCGAACTTCGTTATTTACCAAACTAATATATTGATCGTTTTTTGATTTCATTGCAAACGGAAATGTGATAGAGACCGGAAAAAAAAACGGTTTACACAAGCTTAGATTACATTAATTTGACAAAAAAAAGTAAATTTGGAACTTTTCATATATTAAATTCAACTACTTATTCAATATAAAATTCAATCAGTGAGATATTGAAAAATAAATTTAAATTTTATAGAACTTATTCTTTATTGGCTTTTATTAGTTTAATCGTATTTTTATGTTTTACTGAAGAATTTTTGATAATTTTTGATAAGGATAGCTTATAATTGAAATAATATTGTTGCAATTAATTGATCAGTAAATAAGTAATCATAATTTGGACATAATTTGACGTAAATTATTTAAAGAATACTTATGACATCATTTATTTCAAATATTCGTTTCCTTCTAAGCTGTTCACTGATTACAATACCATTTTTTAACAAATCACTGTCAAAATATTTTTCACCGAATCTAGTAATTATTCAGTAGTCATTATCAATCTACTGTTAACAGATTGACAATACAACTTTACGAAAATTTTTTGCACAAAAAAAACGAACAAAAATTTAAAGTTTGTAACGTTTGAATATTTTTTGCGATTATTTGTTTACTTACTAGGCATAAGCTGCATAAAATTATTGGTAAAGAACTGAGCAAGAAGTCATCTTAGATGGTGACATCACCTGGACTAATATCTCACGGGGGAGGTTGACAGATTTTGCCAAAATAACCGCAGATTGATTACAATGCCTTTTTTTTCTATTTCATTTCCTTCTTTTTTCTTTTCAAAGGATAGATCAAAAAATAAAAATTTTTTTCAAAAATGAAAAATCTTATCAAATGGAAGTAATTCTCTCGAGATTAAACTGTTTTGCCAATTAAAGGAATTGTTAAAAATAGCACAAAGCATGCATAAATCATTCATTATCAAATGGTACTATTCAAAAAAAAAAGAAATATTGAATCTGAAATGTCTTGAATTTTAATATCAGCAAACTTAAATATGCTATTGATAATTTCTTAAAACAGTAAACAATTAATTAAAATCACAATATTTATACCTTATATTAAATTCTATGTTATCATCAGCAAAGTATTTTTTTGAAACCTTTTGTTTTGACAAAAAGTTTTGATACTTTCGATGCCATCAATTAAATATTACTTTGAACTAGTGCAAAGTACATCGAATAACAATAAATTATGAATGCAGTGGAAAAATTAAGTGCAAATGATGGAGCGTCAATTGACGGAACGAAACGGAATAAGACGCAATGGTAGAGAAGAGAGAAGTTATTTGTGCTTCTTGAAAAAAATGTCATTTCTCTCAGTGTCATCAAAATTAAAACTTGCCTTTGGCTTGGGAAAATTTTCGGCATGGGAATTAGCGTTTACTGTTCCTTTTCAGCCATCAAATATTTCCTTTCGTTCATTCGTTCGTTTGACATTTTCAATGAATGAATGAAAAGTTTGTCATATTTGTTCGCATATTTTTAAGGCAATAAAATGTAAATTTAATTCAACAAGTTCATACATTTATTTGATCTCCGCAACAAAACATTTAAAAAAAATGGGAAGAGCAAAAATGAAAAATTAGAAATGAGCTGTAGTGTAATTTTATTATTACTTTAATCAAATAACACAAAAGTAATTTTCCCTTTGATAATTATATGAAAGTTTTTATTACTTCAATTTATTAAATTTGATGATTAGTTATTTTTTGGTTTCAATTCAATTGAATTAAGATTAATCTCATTTATTCCGTTATTTATTTTCTTTTTTAAAAGGAAGAAAAAAGAATTGAAAGAAAAATTTGGCATAGAAATGTGAAATAAATAAATGAATAAATGAATAGTAAATGTGACAACAATTTACACTACAATATAATGCGACAAGAAATTAATAATATAATAATATATGCTACTATTAAAAACTTTTGCAATCAATAAGCACTAATAACTTAATGCAAAACAGGTAATCTATTTCCGTTTTCTTTGGATTTCTTTTTTTCATTGACTTCAATTTTAATTTTTGTTAGTTTTTTAATTATGTTCTTTATCACTGATTAAGCTAGGAGAAAAGAACGTTAAAGAATTTTTAAAAAATATCGAATTTTTTAAATTTATTTTTTGTTTTGTATGTTTCACATTATTTTAACTAAATAAATGGAATTAAATTAAAAAAGCAATTCTTAAAAAAATATAGTGAAATTATACGTTCTTCCCCATTTTCTCGCCATTACAGGAAATATTAACTTGTAAGGTTTTTTTTTTTTTTAATTAATAAAACAGTATGAATTTTACTCAGTTTCCGATTCTATTGTTCTTCCATCGTTTACGGTTGTAATAAGCAGTATAAATAAGATTTAACAGTAGCGATTGTTTATTATAAAAAAGAATAGGCGAAAAAAATTAAAGAGAAAATAGTAAAAAAATAAAACAGTAGGCAAAAAATAATACAAAAGTAAATCAATTAGCATTAAATCGGATCCGTTTAATAAAAAGATGATGCATTTGTATAAAATTACTAAATGCGACTGACATTTCCGTAGCATACACATGTAGACGGATCCGGTTGAGAATAGTGAAAACTTGTGACGATTTAGCAGGTGGACATTGCACGCAGCTGAGATTTGCATTTTTCGTAACGCATGCGAAGAAATACGTAAATGCGGTCCGTGCTTTTATGGGAAGTGTTTTTCTCTTCTTTTTTTTTTCGGGAGAGGTTGTTGAGGTTTAGATGTTGTGCGATGGTTGTGGGTGAAGGTGGAATTTTTTAATAATTTTATACATTTAATAATCTTATACAATTTAATAATCTCTTTTTTTGTTAAACTTAGACTTTAGGTAATATATTACATTGCTAAGAGGAATTTTGTGAAAATTTTGTTGTAAATTGAAGTATTTTCAAGTTGCAATTTTTGCATATGGTCGATTCAGTGGTAACTTCAACTGGCCCAACTGAAAGCAACAAAATGTTAGCATCAAATTCACTGGGTATTACCAGTTTGTTAACATTTATCATCCTTGTGTTAGCGTGGCTTGTTGGTTTTGCCTCACGATTATTTGCTGTTATACGATTTGAATCCATCATTCATGAATTCGACCCATGGTTCGTTCATATTCTTTTTTCATCCGTGTTCTTTTTTTTTTTTTTTCTCTTATCTATTTTTCTGGAAATAAAGTTTTTATTTTGGTGCTTATTAGTAAGGTATATTCTTAACTTGGTGCAAACTAGAAAAGTTTTATAGCATGTTGCAATTATATGGTGGTTTGATAAGCACTACTTTGATCTAGTTCTTGGACATCAGGAATTCATGGAGTAATATGAATGAAAACTGTGAGATTAATTCAAAGAGCAGTGTAGCTTAAATAAATATGTTGCAGTTTTTTTTTATTATTAAATATCAGGTTTAACTATCGGTCAACACATTATATGGTTGAACATGGCTTTTATAATTTCTTAAACTGGTTCGATGAGCGGGCATGGTATCCACTTGGACGAATTGTTGGTGGCACAGTAAGTTGTAGTTCTGTCTTTTGTGTGTGTGTGTGTGTGAAAAAGAGATGTGTTGAATTGATCAGTACTCATCAAAAGCTGTGATTTCATCAGTTTATTTGCTAATATTTTCATTTTTCGATGTGTATAGTTATCGCAGTATTTTATTATCCATATACCTCACATATATCATGAATATATGAGAATGTATATGATTAATATGTCATGAGAATCATGAGAACATATATATATCATGAGAATGTATAATGAATAGTGTTTCTACTTTTAAGTTTCTTTTCAACTACTTATTTCAACAAAATTTGTCATCATGCTGACAAATAATATTTTTTCCAAAATAACTTTCTTCTATTTTTTTTTCGTTGAAATGGTGATGATGTTATTAACACAGGTTTATCCTGGACTCATGGTAACTTCAGGAACAATACATTACATTTTGTCAGCTTTAAATATTTCTGTACATATCAGAGATGTTTGTGTTTTCCTCGCTCCAACGTTTAGGTATAATTTATTGTTTTCTTTTCAGCAGTCGAAAACTAGTTTCAGTTTGTTAATTTGAGTATGTTAATTTGAGTATATTTCCTGGCGATTATTTTTTTTTTTCTAAATTTGTATTTGTTTCTGTTCTCAGTATACTTCAGAAATAATTTTGACATCATTGGTGATTTCACTTCATTATAGATCATTTAATTTTTCAAATGAATTTATTGCCTTTTATCGACACGAAATCATAGTTTGACCTATTTTGATGATTTTATATAATTATTTTCAGTGGTCTTACGGCAATAGCTACATATCTTTTAACGAAAGAACTTTGGACTCCTGGTGCTGGTCTGTTTGCAGCATGCTTCATCGCTATTTCGCCTGGTTATACTAGTCGTTCGGTTGCTGGTTCCTACGACAACGAAGCAATTGCAATTTTTGCATTGCAGGTATACATCTACCTATTTACACTGCGTCCCAAAATTCAAATTAATTTTTATAAGAGATTATCATATTTTCTCTTTTTTTTGTTGCAGTTTACTTATTTCTTATGGGTACGTTCTGTGAAAACTGGTTCCGTGTTTTGGGCAACGTTAACTGCGTTATCATATTTCTATATGGTCTCAGCTTGGGGAGGTTATTTGTTCATCATAAATTTGATCCCATTACATGTTCTCACCCTCATATTAATTGGCCGGTATTGTTCTAAGCTTTACATTGGTAAGCTTTTCATTGGATTCCTTTTAATTTATATTGATTTTGGTCAAGTTTGATGGTTTTCTACCTTTTTCATATAACTCTGAAATGTGATTTATATCTTTAACATGACTCATTCTTCATTGTATTG